ACCTGCTACCAATTTCTGATAGTTTCTCCCCAATTTCCTGAGGCAGAGAAGAAATTTCATTCAGTTCATAACATTTCAATTATGAAAACAAACAAGAAAGACATCAAAAGAAAACCAATTTGGTTTGCAAGATGTTTTAGGACTTCAAACATCAGAGCAGCAGACAATGATATAATGGTCTCAAACCTTATTTTCACTGGATATTTCATATTTCGAAGAATCTGTTTCATTCTGAGCAAACTCCTTTGAGCCATCATGCAATATCTGTTACAAAAGTATTGAATACTTTAAATCCACGGATCACAGGACTTTTGTACATTTCACAAAAGAACTAGCAACAGATACTCTTTGTATTATGCAAAAAGGGAAATAACCAACACACCCTTTCCAAGTATTGCATACTTTTAGAGTCTGATAAACATTGGCATGGATGACTGGGATATAGCTCCTGAGCTCAGCCTCATCAAAGCCAGTTTGAAACAGAAGTTTTATCTGTAAAAAATCCATCACGAAAATGTATACATATTGAAACAGAGTAATCGAGAGCACACTATGACAGAGGAAGTGTACTATATGTCAGTCTTGCCTGCTTAAAAATGGTGGATTTCCCAGATTCTCCAGCACCTTAGCAACAAAAAGATTGATAACATTGTTAATAAAACAACCCAGCAGGACAAAAAGAAAAAAAAGTAACAACTTAAGAAATTTTGCTCGCACCAAAATGAAGAGAAGAAAGGAAGAAAATTGAAAAGACAGGAAGAATAATTTATTAGTCTGTCTATGTGTAGATGAAAGCAGAATATTATAAATATAAATGTCTTTAAAGAGAAATGACAAGTAAAAATTTGACCAAGGCCTTGCACTGAAATGGAAGAAAGGAAGAAAAATACTAGCCCTAATACTCTTTTAGATCTATAAGCATTTTAAGTTACGTAAATTGAAGAGACAGAGGAAGAATAATTTATTAGTTTCTCTATGTGTAGAAAGCAGAATATTAAAAGTATAATCGTTAAGGAGAAAATGACAGAAAAATTTGGCCATAAGAGGCAATAAGATGACAGAGATTTACACAATAGGCGTGTAGCACCTCTAAGCTACTTTTAGAAATCACATCTTCACCACAAGCTAGTGAAGGTAAGGAAACATTTAATCATGTAAGAATGATTTGATGTGTATCTTTATTGACTATTAAAACCTTATATATACAAATTTTCTAGGATGAAAAAGAAAATAAATAATTAGTTTACGCTCTTTTTAACACTCTCCATCAAGCTGGAGAATAGATGTTATTCATTCCCAACTTGTCAATAAGAATTTGAAATTTTGAATTGCTTATGTTTTTAGTTAACAAATCTGTCAATTAAGAATTAGTGGATATATATAGAATACAAATTAGGCTACTTTCAAGTTTTTCATTGATAAAATATTTGTCGATCTCAATACATTCGGTCCAACCATGTTGCACTGAATTGTGAGTAATGCTTATAACCAACTTCTTGTCACAGTATAGACGCATAGTCTTTTCCCACTTGATTCAAATATCTTCCAAAATTCTTTTTTATCCATTACACTTTACATACCCCTTGAGCTATTACTTAGAATTCTTATTCTACATTTGATCTCCCAACTATAATTTGTATCTTCCAAAATTTTTTTTTATCCATTACACTTTACATACCCATTGTGCTAGTACTTAGAATTCTGACTCTATATTTGATCTCCCAACTATAATTTGTTTCTTACTTCTCTAGGTGACTAATGTCTAAGGGAAAATACAATATCTTATAGTAGATCTTCTATTTACCACTGATCCTCTATAATATGCATCAATATATGTTTTTAGGAGCAATTTATCATTCTTTCTGAACATTCCTTTCTCTGATGACCTTTTTAGGTATTAAAGTATTTTTTAGGCTACTTCGAGATACACTTTTCTCAAATTGTGCACCAATTAGCCTATAACATTTACTACATAGACAATGTCTATTCTCATATGAGATAGATAAATCAATCTTGCAATTAATCTCTAATATATTTCTTTATTTACTGGTATATCTTGTTCTATTATTAGAACCAATTGGATTGCTAGTTAGTTTGCATGCTAACTTGTCAGTGTCTTTTAATAGAACGGTCAAAAATTGTTGGGATATCCATATAAATTCCTTCTTATAATTTTTCATGCAACATGACATTTTTCACATCAAATTGTTGTAATCGTCAGTCAAAGCAAACAACTAATGACAATAAAATTCGAAGAGTGTTCATCTTGGCTACTGGGGTGAATATCTCCTGGTAATCTGTCTCATGTGTCTATAGTTTTTTACCATAAGTCTCGCTTTATATCTCTCGATTGTCTCATTCTCTTTATATTTTATTGAAAAAACTCATTGACATTCCACTAATTTATTACTTTTGGATATATCTACTATTTTTCAAGTCTGGTTCTTTTTAAGTATCTGCATTTTTATAATTATGATATTTTTCAATTTTTCACAGGACAATACCTCATATACCAAATTAAGAATATACCATTATTTAAACTTGTGACAAAATTTCTATACTTTGATGAACACTTATCAAATGACAAATTGTGAAAATATAGATAGTGTTTAGTGCATTCCTTTACACCTCTCACAAAGTGCAATAGATATACCATTATTAAAGGATTGTATAGGTTTTTCAAGACCTTATCTTAGTTCCAGGAACAAAGTTGGATTCTTGGACCGACTTTGTTCCAATGCTCAGCATCTTTCTCCTTCTATATACCTAAGAAAATCAGAATTTGGTACTGGTCTCTTGAGATGATGGATTTTGAAGGTTTCATAGTGGTGGTGAGTTTTTTTGTGGGTTTTAAAAGTTCTTTCGTGATAATCATCTTGAGGTGTGTGGCACGATAGTACGTTAAAATCCATTAGGAGTTTTGTATTATTATCTTCCAACATAGGCTCTCCTGATGATATGGTTGAGTAAAGTAGGATTTTTATTCAACAATTATAATATCAGCAGATATAAAATTTTTGGATTGACGGATTGTAACATTTGTACACATTTTAAAAGGAGGAGTACCATACAAATACAAATTTCTAGATCCGAGATCAAGTTTTCCTCTTTGGTGGAAATTAATATAAACAAAAGTAACACACCTAAATATCCAAGGATCATATGGTTTGTGATACTTACTGTTGGGTAAAATTGTCGAAATGTTTTAAGAGTACTTTTGAAGTCAAGAATATTTTTAGTCAGACGATTAATAATGTAGGTGGGTAATAAGGACAACTTCATCTTAATATTATTTTGGAACGTTAATTTTGAGAAGAAAAGCTCTTGTGGTGATTATAAGATGACTATTATTGCATTCTGCTAATTCATTTTGTTGAATGAATGTAGAACGATTCATGAAGAATCCATTCTTGATGGGTGAAATACGAAAGTGTGAAATTGAAAAAATCATTAACATTATAGGTACAAAATTTTTCTATGGATGTTCCAAATTGAATTTTTATCATCTTGCAGAATTGTATATAATATGACTAACATCAAATTTAACTTTGAATAAAAACAGTCATGTGACCAATGCAATCATTAACAAATGAAATAAACCATCGAATTTTAGAAATATTATATATGTAAGTTGGTTTTCAAATATTATTACGAATTAATGAAAATGGAATTGAACTTCATTTATTACTAATGAGAAATGTTATACGTTTATATTTTACAAACTCACAGATATCGTAATATAAATTTCTCTATTCCAAATTTTTAAATAATGAGGGAAACATAACCTTTAAAATGAAAAACAATGGAAGCTTAAGTTTTTTATAAAGTCAAATCTTGTGTGTAAAATTGGTAGTAATAGCAAAGAAGGATCATCCAGGTACATCCAAGTAGTAGAATCCGTTTCTGATTCACCATGTCAAATTTTCTTTCCCGAATTTGGTCTTGAAAATCATAGTAAGAAGAGTTAAATATCACTTTACAGTTTTAGTCAGACGATAAGTTATTGACCAACACAATATCAATACAAAATTTAGAAACATATAATATATTTTTTAGGACAAAAATATGACTAATCTTTAATATCACCTTTGTTTGCAATAGTATTGAGAAAACTATATGCAACGACATACTTTTTATTACTTAATCATGGAACATATATATGAAAATATTTAGAAGTATTAGTCATATAATTTGTTACTTTTAAGTCTATAATTCAAAAAAAAATTTAAAAATTTATTTAAGGCATTTAATCCATGTGAGATAAAAATTATATTTGATTGTGCAAATTAATAGGTACCTATTTGTTTCTTCAAGAACTCAAGTCAAGTTCTTAATCTTTCAATCTCCACTTTGAATTTATTAAAATTTAAAATTGTCATATTGAGAGTTGATCCAATAACTTGAGATGTTAGTTCTGACATCTTCTACGAATTGAATGATAATTAATGAAAAAATTATCAGAAAAATTTTACTAAGAACACATGACTACGTAAAGAAAATACTAAAGAAAATATCAATTATGCGCTAAGTCACTACGTCAACTCAACAATTCCTACTGCCTTGAACCTTACCATTTTACTTGACTCGGTTGGGCTTGGATCTAGACAAAAGGCACGAGCATAGGGGTGTGGCAAATGAATCAGTGGTTGCACACGTGTCTGTGCACAGAGGGTTGCGATAGACCATGGCAAGTTAGGATTGCGCAATTGTGTCCGGTGTCTCTGTTTGCGTTTGTGTCTGAATTTCGTGACAGATGGTATCTGAAGTTCTTTGGAGAAAATAAATTTCTAATTTTTATTACTTATATTTTGTTTACATTTAGACTATATATATAAACTAGTTATCCTTATTCTAGTTAAACTCTAATTATACGATATAATTATATTATTAGAACTCTAACTAATATACTATTCTACTTTGCATGAAATCTGTAGAAAATCATGAAATGGTAGTTTAGTAATTTTGTGTGAATTTGTTGTAGACAGATGGGGATGTCCACTATCACAATATTCTTTTTTTTCTTCATTCTGTAAGGATTTTTTTTTCGGGTGCCAGGTACCTATATAATGGCACCCTCCTTATTCTGTAATGCAAGGAAAATTAGAGAAGGAATTCTTCTCCTCTCGAAAATCTTCATCTTCCTTCCCTAAAATCTTCATGATATCAGAGCCTCTCTGATCCAGAAGCTTCAATCCGACTAAGCCAAATCCTCAGATGGTCGCGGATGAGCAAAATTACTCTCCACCGAAGTACTCTCGAGTGCTTATCTACCTACACCCATCAACACCGAACTGGTGGAATAGTCTTCATCATTCATCATTCATCACCGGCCACAAACTCAATGGCAACAACTATCTGCAATGGTCTTCATCAGTGTTGTTGTTCATCCGAGGGAAAGGATGTGATACTTGACTAGCGAAATCACGCCGCCACCAGCACACGACCAAAATGCGCAAGCTTGGAAGATTGAAAATAGCATGGTTATGTCGTAGCTAGTAAACTCCATGATTCCCGAGATTGGAGAGAACTTCTTACTCTACGAGACTATGCATGAAGTTTGGAAAGCTGCCCGAGAGTTCTACTCCAGTCGGGATAACATGTTGGTCATCTTTGAGATTGAATCC